GCTTGGCTGCTGTTGGTGTATATAAAGGCTACAGATTTATGAATGTTGATTTTGTAACCTGAGACACTGCTGTATTCCTTAATTACTTCTAAGAGTTTAGTAGTAGAATCCCTGATATCTTCCAGATATACAATCATATCATCTGCGAAGAGTGAAAGTTTAATCTCTTCTGACCCTATATGGATACCCTTAATTGCTTTTTCTTCCCTGATTGCAATGGCTAAAACTTCCATTACAATGTTAAAGAGCAATGGAGACAATAGGCAACCTTACCTAGTTCCTGATCTGAGTGGAAATGATTTCAACTTAACTCCATTCAATACAATATTGGCTGTGGCTTTGCTGTAGATGGCCTCAATCAGTTTAAGAAATGTCCCTTCTATACCAATTTTCTTAAGTGTTCTGATGGTGAAGGGATGCTGGATATTATTAAATGCTTTTTCTGCATCAATTGAAAGAATCATATGGTCTTTGTTTTTTACCAATGCACTATTAATCTATACTTCATAAGCAACCATGTCCTTGCCCTGAGTCATTCACTTCTGGTTATTCTAGAATAAAAGTCTATACAAAACATAGCATTTATCAAGGTAATATGAAACTACTTAACTACAATATCACTTCAGGAAAGCAGCCAATCATTATTTGATGAAGGGTTCTCAGTTAAGGACTTGAGAAAACGAATCTGATCTCTCCCTATAATCACCCAGAGCTTTATGAAGAATCTGTTTTCTAGGATTTAAAGTATGAGATTCCAACTTACTGACACCCTAACCAGGATATGAACAGGATGAACTTGTAATCTTACATTGAAGTCCTATATCAATAATATATATCAAGTGAATAAAGAAAAATGAAAACGTGGATTTTGTAGCCTTATTTTATCAATTCTGCAGTATGCAAAATCCATGATGAAACTACCATAAATACAACAAGATCTTCAACATTCCCAAAGCTACTTAATTATGGCATCTTTTCCTTTCACAAAGAACAACCATAGCTTAGCATTGCTCCTCTTGGAATGAAGTATTTTCACCTTTAATCAGTTCAAAATATTTTCTAATTTCCATTGTGTTTTCTTCTTAGACTTACAGGTTTATTAAAAGTATATACTGCTTAATTTACAAATATTTAAAGATTTTCTAGTTACCATCTGATATTGATTCCTAATTTCACTGTGGCTAGAAAGCATATGGCTTCAATTCTGTATGGCTTTAATCTCTTCAGATTTTCTAAAATGTATTTTATGGTTTAACATAGGGTCCCTTGGTGGGCATTTCACATTTGCTTGATAATAAAATGCATTTGTTGGCTATAGTATTCTATACATATCAGTTAAATCAAGTTTGTTAAAGATGTAGAAACCATCTATGGTGTTCCTAATTTTTTATTTTCATGTTTAATAAAACATGGCAATGTCATATTAACAACATCTGTGACTATGCATCTCTCTATTTGTCCTTTTAGTTCTGGCAGTTTTCACTTTATATGTTCTGGGGCTATGAAGTTAGATGAATAAATATTTTTATTTTCTTGAGAATTTACCCTTTTGTTATTATGAAATGTCATTCTATATATCTAATAGTACTTCTTGCATTAAGTTGCATTCTATCAATATTTGGTTAGTGTTTTGATGGCATATCTTTTGCCATATCTTAATTTTCAACTTTCTGGGTTCTTATTATCTGGTAGAGTATTTAATCCATTTATATTTAATGTAATTACTAGATTATTTGATTTTAAATCTACTATCTTAATATTTCATTTTCTTTTGTCTGATCTATTCTTTATTCTTTGTTTAATCAATTCTTGCCTTCTTAAAAATTTTGATCAATGGTGATTTTTTTATTCTATTTGCCTTCTTTATTATCTTTTTAATTAGGCCTCTATTTTAATTCACTTAGTGTTAACCCAAAGATGACAGCATGAACCTCTGACTCATTACAGTCTACTTTAAGTTAGTGTCTTTATTCCTTTCAGAATAACACCCTTAGGTTCCAATGACTTAATGTCTTTTACAACCATTTTTGTCTTTTGTATTATTGTTATGTATTTTAATTCTACATATAGAGAAAAAGCTGTATAAATTGATCACCTAAAGGGACTGCAACAAACTGGTCAGCATATGGAAGTGGTCAACATAAGGCACTAGGCCTACTGTACTGATACATACATGTGGAACATGTCTGGTCTATGAAAAATAGGTCAACTTAAGAAGGTGGTCAATGTAAGGAAGTGATCAACTGTGGAGGATCTATTGTATTGTTAAAACCACAAGATATCATTGTTGTTGTTTTAAATAGTCAATATTTTCTTAAATTTATCCACTATTTATGCTTTTGATGATCTTTCTTTCTTTCCACATCATCAAAGTTTCATGATCACCTTGTTTTTGTCTATAGGAGTCCTATCAGCATAATATTTCTTTTAGTTCTGAACTGCTGTATTTTCCCAGTTTTGATCTGGACTTACTTCTCTGTAGTTTTCCCTTCCCTGGGTTATTGCTTTTCAAGATTCAGTCACATTGACAGCCTCTATCCCAGTGAGATTGCCTCAAATCCCAAGACAATTTATTTAATGCCACATACTAACCACTTCAAAAATTAGCAAATGCCTTTAGGGGGAAAGAACAGAGGCCGATATCAGAATCATGAGAATCACCCTCCCTCCTTCACATTTCTGCTTGAGCTCTGGACTACATCCATGGGCTCTCTTGCCTTCTGACTTCCAGGATGACCTTCTCCAATAGGGAGCCTTGGAAGGAGATGGGGAGATCGAGGCTGGGGTATTTGTTCCCTTGCGGCCTGACTGTGGGATCACCTTGAACTTTTCCACCAAACTCTCCCTTCTGGAGTTGTGGTAGCTATTCCAACCCTCTGACCCTTCAAGCATAGCTGAGTCCTGGATCCTTAGCGTTGCTAACCCTGATTCTAAATTCTCCTGTGGTTTTGAATACTCTGCTCACACCTTCATAAAGAGTTCTATTATCAAGCCCTTCTTCAAGTGTCCTGTTTCCTATAGGGACCCTGTCCTGTGGAGATTGCCCAGTCCTCCCTAAAGAAGTGGCAACATGAGCTCTCTCTGCTCCCACCTGGTCCTGCTGCCTCTGAGGAATAGTGAGGGGAGAGAGAGAAAGAGAAAAGTGTGAAACAAGCTACTCCATCTTGTCTGGAAGTGTAAGTTCTCTCCTTAGAGAAAAGTTTTTATAGCACCGACCTTGCCATCATAAAGAGTTTATTAAATGAGTCCTAAGAATCTATACAAAATACAGAAACCACTATTTCTTACCACATGTTTAATGATGTGTGCTGATAGCCAAGTTCAGCCACAAATGGTCAGATAATGCTGAGATAGAAATGATTGCAATTCAAAACAATAAAATCCACATGGGGGAAACAACACAGTCAATTGATTAAGAAATCATTGCAGGGATTATAAGAGTCCTAGAAGTTGTCATTATATTTGTGCCTCACACTTTGTTGTCATTGTAAGCCTCTTGAGAAATTTTATCTAAGAGTAAGTCTATCCTCATTTCTTATAAAGTATTAGAGCTTTGTCTCATATTGCTCTTCAAGATTGAGAGAAGAAAATTAAATACTAATTTTCTCAACATCTGCAATAATATATTCTAGGATCTTGGCAAAATCAACCCAAAGATTCACCCATCCAAGCTGTTTAAGTCACCTGGTTAACTCTGTGGACTATCAGATCTAAATTGTCACAGGAGAGAAAGTTGAGAAAAATCAAGCTTATACAATTGAGAAAGCAAGACATTCCCCAGTTAGTAACATGAATTATTTTTACCAAGAGTGTCTTTTATGGACATTATTATCACAAGAATCCGGTTGTCACATTATACAATCTGTGCTATCGAGAGCAAAACTGATTGTGGCTGGAAATGTATCCCAATTTCAAAAAGACTTGAGGAACTCAATCCAGATGATCTAGCATTAACTACTATGGCACATTACCATGAAGCCTTAGAGCAGTGGTTCTCAACCTTACTAATGCCGTGACCCTTTAATACAGTTCCTCATGTTGTGGTAACCCCCAACCATACAATTATTTCCATACAAAAAAAGTAGACAACTAATATTTATAAATAAAAATGAAAGATAATTCCAAAAAATTTTTGAGACTTTGGAAAAAAAGAAGTTAACTAATGACTCCATACTGAACCTCAGAGTCAAAGAATTCATAATAGACATACTCTTATCTGACAATGTAAATGTTACTTTTTTGCATTATTATTATTATTGCTCAATATTTCGTTGCAGCAATCATCTGATCTCTTTTCTGAATGTATTTATCTTTGTTTGTTCTTTATGAGGTTTTTGTTTTTAGTCCTTATCTTGAACATTATTAATGTTATTAAATTTTAAGCTTTTTTAATTTTGTGAAGGCAAAAAGTAGAAACCAAATAAACACATGTATATAGAGAGAGAAAATAAAAAACATATTATTTGCATACACCTGTATTTGTACTAGGTGTATGTGATGGTTTTAGGCAACCCCTGTGAAAGGGGTCACAACCCACAGGTTGAGAACTGCTGCCTTAGAGAACAGTATTTTTTTTTTTTTGCAGTTTTTGGCCAGGGCTGGGTTTGAACCCACCACCTCCAGCATATGGGGCCAGCACCCTACTCCTCTGAGCCACAGGTGCCTCCCAAGAATAGTATTTATTTTTAACAAGTGTACCAAGGCAATGAAACAAACAAATAAACAAAAAGAATGATTATGGAGGGCTTAATCTTAAAGTGTCTGAAAGTGTATCTTGTTCTATCTCAAACTTCAGCCTTAGCAATCAGAACTGTATCATTAGTTGCAATACATGAATGCTAAATAGTATTTCTGACCATGGGCCTACATGTACTTAAATTGTGTTTAAGGAATTAGTGGAAGAAACCACTAATTAGTGGAAGCAAATGGTTCTGTTGTACATGTTTGAAAGATTGTCTGCTAGAGCTTGCCAAAGGAGACTATCAGCAAGTTCCACCTTTCACCTCTTCCAGAACATAACTCTGTGCTCACCAGCAAGACTCAGTTCTATTGAAATAGTCATGGAACAGCATTATCTCAATTTGCCTTGGCCTTTTCCACCATACTTTTTAAAAGGTTGATAAAACAAATAATAAGTTTGTACATATTTTTCTTTCAATATTTACTCTTTACATATTTTGCCTTAGTAATTAGCCTCTTTAGCAAACTCTGGAGCTATATCAACAGACGATTTTGCCGCTGTAACGAGCCTGACTTGTGCTATGTTCCATAGGCCTATGAGTTAACTGGGCATTGTTTGTTTATGAGCTAAAAACATGACTCCCATAGGGATAAATTGGCTTGAACAGAGCCATCAGAAACCCCTTTAAACAGAAAACTAAACAGAAATATGAGGTTCTAATTCCCGAGAACTCCTAAAGAACCTCAATACAGAAGAAGTTGTTATTTCCAGACAACAGCATTTCTTTCATAGTGTGATCAGTATCTCCTCACCCATTGGTACAATGCACTGAACTGTTCAAAGGTGAGCCAACTGGGTCCAGTGTCATGTGACTGTAGTCCCATCCACTTAGGAAGCTGAGGGAAGAGAATGGCTTGAGCCTAGATGTTTAGCCCAGCCTGGGAAAGATAGTGAGTCTCTCTCCAAAAAAAAATAGGTGAGCCATTTGGTGATCATTCATCAGTGTCTCCAGAATAATGCTTCTTTCTCCATGTAAACAATCAGCAAATATTTGCTGCTGCATGCCCAAATGAATGAATGAATGAAATGCTCAAGCATGCTAGGGCCAGAAAAACTAACAAGAAGAATAAGTTTTACTTTTCTCTAGCACTGTAAAGTGACTATAGTTAACAGTGATATATTCTAAGTTCAAATAGCTAAAAAGAGAAACAAAGAAATGATCAATGTTCAAGATAGTATATATGCTAATTACACTAATTTGATCACTACACATTATACGTATCAAAACATCACTATGTCCCCTGTCAATGTGTATAATTACTATATATCAGTGAAAAAAGTTAGGAAATGTTGGCATTTGAGAAGCTTTATGTTAAGAAACATTATGTTAAATTGACATAAGCTTTCTAAATATCGTAATGGAAATCTATGATTTAATTTACATGTATGATTTTAGGAATACCTATGCTTCATTTAGTCAAATATAATACCTCACCAGGTAGCATTTACCATGCCTCCGACACGTTGCCTCACGAATCGCACTCTGATAGCCAACACTGAACAGGACTGAAAGGAGGGACAGCCCTCAAGGCATCACTTGGGTTTGCATGGTAAGCCCTTCTTTTATGTGCCCTAAATGCACAGTTCATCATCATTATCTCACATCCTCACTACTCTGCAGGAAGAGATGCTTCTCTGGATATGCTGAGACCTTGTGTTCAGGCAAAGCAAATCCCACATCATTCAGACTTTTCAGAAGGCTCAGCGCCTTGCTGCCTGGTGGTGCAGATGGCACTAATGGACTCCCAGTTGCAGAGAAATGCATCCTCCCATAGACATGTCCATTCCAGGAAGCCACTGGAAGTCAATGTACTCTCCATTCACTCACAGGGAAATGATTCTTGAAACAGCTGATCAGTTTGATTTCAAGGTGTCACCATGGAGTTGGAATAGAGGAAACTGCCCAGTAGAAATAAGGACTATGCACAGGGAGAAGTAGAATCCAAACCCAGCCCTACAGCCAGCGTGCCATTCCCCTCCTTGGCCTCCCTTTCTTCATCTGGAATATGAAACAGCTGGATCAACTCATCTCTGAGATCCCTCTCCACTCTTACCAGCTCTGATTCAAGAGGCATTGCATTCTGAGACTGCAGCCCCAACCAGCAATTATCTCAAGTGGGTGTGTAGGTAATTATGGTACCTAGTATTAACAGTTTCATAAAATAAAAAATCCAGTGAAATTAATTTTTAACCTACTTTTTAATTCCTGCTTATTTCAAATTGAAATATCTTTGTGCTTCCCCAAAACATGGATGTTAAGTATAAATTTACACCATGGAGGCGAACTAACCCCGTCATTTAGAAACAATGTTGAGTCCTATGAATTTAGGCCACTTGAACCTTGTGGTGTACTTTTGGAGCTAATCATGAATTTCTGATATTTTGTGATCTAGCAGAAAGGCAAAATAAGATTGAAACCCACAAAGTAACTGTGCTAAGATAGATATATTTCATTTTGTGCCACACTTACATTGTAAACAGAGCTTCATCCTGGGAAGGAAAGAAGGATTGGCAGGTCTTGCGACAAATGCTAGAATTACACGGCCAGGATTTTTCTTGATGCACAAGATTCACTGAGTGCGTGGCAGCCATTGACTGTGACTATGCATCACATCCGCAGATAAATGTGATGGGGGCCTAAATCACAGGGCTCTGGTTTTCAAACCCTTGGAAAATTGTATTCTTTCATAGAATAATAATCTTGCCAAGGTCTTTCCTGGCATTAATCTGTGGTCATGATGAACAAACACCCAACTACACTGGCTGTCCCTTTGCAATCAGGCCTTTGGGAGATCAAATAATTTTAGAGTTAAGATGAATTTGCCAACTCTAAAATAAGGTAAAGTGGAGGGAAGTATAGGAATCAAATCACTTTCTAGGGCGGCCCAGGCGTGAAGCCAGCGTGAGAACTCTTACTGCTCTTCTCCTGCATTGCTATGCCTCTGTAATGTCTGGCAAGGGGCAGCAATATAACCTACGGACTTGGAAGGAAGATCTTTGTAGGGCAGGGGCCAGTGGACTGTTTGTGATGGACCAGATTGGTTTTGAATTTAAGATGTTTTATGATCTATCAGAAAGGCAAAATGAGATTGAAGCCCGTATAATAACCAGATTGGTTTTTTAGGTTACGGAATCTCCATCTCGACTTACCCAAGTCTATCACTGCAGGATGAAGGCTGCCATAGGCAATGTGTGAAGGACTAGGCATGGCTGAGTTCCAAGAAAATCTTATTAATTAGCACTAACAGGTGAATTTCATACAATTTTTGCATGTCACAAAATATCCCATTTTGTATTTTGCTTCAACTATTGAAAAATGTGAAACCCATTCTTAGCTCCCAGTGGACTGGATTTGACCTGGGGCAGTAGCTGCCCTACCCATTACAGAGTAATGTATCTCAGCCCTTGGGGGATTGATTCTGTGCCCTGGTAATA